CTGAACCAAGTGAAAACCTGAAAAACATTTATATAAACTTTTCTGATTTGAATTTTCAGCACTACCATGTCCCAAAATATTTAGTATTTCTCTTGAAACACTTTGTTTAAATAACCCAAAACTACACTGTGTGTCAATAAAAGCTTATGGCTTTGCCATGTGTTCAAAGTAGTATTATATTATTTATATACTAGTATTATGGATTGTTAATGCCTGCAGTAGTCCTGATGTTCCAATGATCTAAGGAAAACAGCATAGAAAATAAAGCTTTTAGGAAAATAGTGAAATCTTGTTATCATGGTTTGTCAAGGGACTGAACATTTTGTTCTTCATATACCGGGAAAACATGTTACTAAAAATGAATCAATTTGTCAATTTTTACTTTTCCTTGGAAATATTCATTTATATCCAATTCCATGTATTAAATAATCTTACACTGCAATGTTTTGTATATCTTTCTTCAACACTGATAAAACATGGGTATCATTAATACTGTTTTGTGTTTACATTCTAAGTAAGGATACCCATTGTGACATGCATAAAGGCTGCTCCACACATTTGGTATTTGGCGAGTAGCAAGCGACCAGTCACCGAATTCTGAGTAGTGTGGCTGGGTTACTGAGTGACGAATATTCGGTGTTCGCCCTACCCCACTGCGTGTCAGTTGTTTGCACACATCAAATGAAGTGAACATTTGCCAAGCTCATCAACGAGCTGTCACTTGCAACTTGGTGAATACCGAATGTGTGGAGCCATCTTAAAACAGATTTAACTCTTTGGTAACCATATAAAATTTCTGGAAAACTAACAATTTTACATTTTTGGAAATTTTTTAGAAAGTTGATATACGATCTGTACTCTATTCAATTTTGTTCATTGTGTACACTGGTGACTTGTACATACACATTTTCTGATGTATGCTGATGACGTGAAAGTTTTTTTTCTAATCTACTAATCAGTGATGTGTTTCGACACTGAACTACATGGTGGCTGATCCCCTTAAATGAAACCAATGACTCAGTCATGGATATTGGGAAAAACAACCACACGCTTCCTTATCATATTGGTATGAGTTTCATGATTGGCAAAGCTTGTACATTGATTAAGAGTGAGGATTTCACTGTCCTATACAAAACTTAGTCTTCCTATCATTGAATTTGCCACCACTCTATGGAACACCTACTACGTTAAGGATATTAATTTGCTTGAAAGCATACAAAGGAGAAACCTACATATTCCAGCTGATATCAGGAAAAACACTGATCAACAACTAGGTAAACTTAGTCTGCCATTGCTAGTTGATATAACTAAAAGAGCTGACATGATCAAGACATAAGATATTATGCTCTAACTATAACACTCATCGTCATGGAATCTTTCAGCGATCACAAAATTCTCACCTCTAAGACCACTGTATGAAAGTGATGAAGATGAAATCCAAGTTAGCACAATACAAAAATTTTCCAACAAAGCTCTGTACACTTGCTTCATAGATACTCCAGCTTTGAATAAGTGTTGACTCCAAAATTTTGACTGAGTATTTTCTGGCAATTGGATCAAGTACATTAACTGCACTATAAGATTTTATTTTATGGCACCACAGTGACAGGCTGTTTTTTATCGATTTTGATCTACACATGATAGTACAAAGTACTCAATCCATACTGGTAATCAAAATCAAAAATCATGCACAGATTGTACTTCTCCCCTATATGTTACATACTATTTTACTGTTCTTTAACAAAATAAAATACATTTGTTTTTTTAACCTATATCTGCAGAAATAATCTTGTTATTACATTTTAGTGTAGTGGTGACTTAATTCCTTATAAGTTCTCTCTCTCTCTTTTTTGGCACATCTCTGTTTTCTTTATTCAAAGCTGCAATAAAGCTAGTAGCATTTTGCCTGTAAATTTTAACTCCAAAACTTTAGTTTAATCAAAAACCTTGACCAAGACAAAGATCAATAACATTTGGTGATATTATCTATCCATCACAAAGATGAGAAATAATAAAATCTTAACTTAACAAAATTAAAATTCATGATATGGCCATTCAGGAAAATCTCAAATGGTCCAAAAATGGCACATCGGCTGTTTTAGTGCTTCGGATGGATTATTAATGCTATAGCATTATCTTTAGCCTGCTCCTTTTTCATAATTCCAAGAATAAATTATGTACTATTTAATGTGTTATGATAACTTCATTGTTCCTTTATTTTATGCAGGTGTGGAGGGAAAGCTCAGCTGCATAGTGTGGTGCGCACTGCTGCTATTCGGGCTTGGGACCAGCGGTGGACCAGATCTTGTCGCTGTGGGGGTTATTGGCATATTCAACGTTCCCTCTAGTGATCATATGTATATTAGTCTTCCAATGGAGTTATTCTGTACCATGCAAATATTAATTATTCCTTTGATGTTATTACAGTTTGTAAACTTTTTGATTTATTCTCAAGGTCGATTTCACTCTACACTTGGCATGGTTCAATATTGCCATCAGTAGACAAGTGTATGAGTTACGCATAAAATGTCATTTTAATTATCAAGATAATGTTTCATAATTTGAGAAAAAAAGAAAGAAGCTTGGGCACTATGACGTTATTAGTGATAATGTATTGCTTACAATTGACGGGTAAGAATTAATATTTCTTCGTTCTTGTGAAGAAAATAGGGACTACTTGAAAATCATTGTATGATGACACAGATTCCATTGTACTCCTAGAATGGAAAGGAAATAATATTCTCTTTTAGGAGTTGAAACGGTAAATAATGTGCTTTTGTAATGAATTGAGATATTGGTGATAGTGATGATGTGAAATTTTAGCTGTGATCAATTTTCATCTGTAGATCTGGTCCATCTCAATGACGTTTGTTGGTAATGATTCGAATTATTTGAGAATTGTCTAATAAGTGCAAATTGTTCTCTGATTAAAATATGTGGAAGGGTGACACTTGTACAAAACAATGAATCGCAGTACTGAAAACAGTAAATTTTAGGCCTGTCGAAAGGCGCAGTTAGGTGGTTACTATGTAAATGCCTTTATGTCTCCACTAGGTCAGTAAGGAACGTATTTTAATCGGATTATAAAAGTTCACATTATAATAAAGAGATCAATCACATATAATAAGAGTCAAGGAGAGAAAAAACCTGTTGACTTGGTGGTAATTTAAAACCCAATTATAGGTATTGGAGGACAAAACTCTTGGCATGTGAAAAAACCACTTTATAAAAGCTGAGAAAACAAATAGCAACAAAGAATTTAATGTGCATAAAGTTGTAAAAAGAATTAATTTTTTAATGTTTCTAAACCACCATAAAGTTTAGAATTAAACTTCTCAGGACCAAATAGATTTGTGAATATTTCATAAAAACTGTTGTTGGGTTCATGTACAGTTGTTGTAAAGTACTCTTTATTAGGGAACATTATTCATTCATATTATGATGATCATCATTCAAATTATTATATTTATTGCCATTGCCTTTAAATGTCATCATCTAATGTGCATGCTATTATGTATATAGGAGGAAACACTGGTTTGTGCTAGTAAGCAGTATCCATATCAATAGAAATAATGAAATAGAATTCATATTATAATAGTAACAATCATTATTCTATAGAAAAATATTCACTTAAAAGGACACATTTTCTACATTTTTATCCTTTGCTAATTATGTGCTTTGTCAGCATCTTTTTGAAAAGGAAAAGTAGTTACTGGAGTCAATTATAGAAATATTTGAACTAGTTGTATTTTCCTCAGTAATAAGCTTATTCACTCTTATTCAAGATTTCTCTGCATTTGCTATAGATTCTATTTTTGCTGGAATGATGGTCAGGCACTTGAGTGAGGATATGTCATAATCTTTCAATGTGTCATATCTTGTATTCGGGCATGATGGATTATTCTTCTGGTCACTGACACAAAGTTGTAACATAGTTTTCCCCATACATCAGTGACATAATGACATATACATATACAGTGTTTAGGAAAATCTTAGAACTGTAGCTCTCATTCAAGAAATTTTGTGAACTTTTCAGGTACGTTTTTTTATGAAACTTCAATCTGTGCATGTGTTGAAGTGACCGTGGCATAAGCTGTTTACTTTTTTTATTTGGTAAATATCTGTTTCTTCTTTCTTCATTCGATAGTACTATAATATTAATATTTCAAACAGCGAATATTTGTTTTAGAAGTTGTTATATTATGCCTACAATAATATACATTTTATAAGTGTAACTTTCCTATTTGCCTAAACTCATTTACCTTTTTAATGGATTCAAGGTACTTATCTCAGGTTAGAAAAAAATTGCAAAATAAAAAAAGCAATGAAAAGATATTCTTGAAACTTTATGGCAATCTATATGAACTGCATTCATATTAGAACACTGTGTTTACTTTGTCTTCCAGTCTTTTGCAAGTGTTGCACTTCACGTATATTACTTTTATTGCACTTTTCCCATTTTCCCTCAATAATTGAATCATACAAAATGACATTAACTTTCTTAAATAATGTCCATTTTATTGAAGCTTTTATATTCTAAAATTTATTGTTGGTATGTGTGAACTCTTAGAAAATTATGGAAGTTTATTTTTCATGTATACTTTTCATTAAGCTTTATTTTAGAAAAAAATGTTACACAACACTTTACATTTTATTTCTCTTCGAATGCCACCATCTTTGCAGGAAGTCAGCATCCTGGATCGGTGGTGTATGCATTTTTGTTAGATATACCAAACAGTTTTGTATTTGTTTATTTGATATAATTTACATTATTGTAAGAATGCCAGCATGCACGGAATAAATATTCAGTGGTAAAAAAGGTATTGAACACCACATAGTAATAGTAATGTAATCTATAAGATTGTGATTTCATTAACTAGTGATAAATAGTTATCTAGCTGTTCTTTATGATATCTTGTAATCATTTCATAGCTGTTAAGTTATTTTCTTATTTTTAGTAATAGAACTAAGCATGTACTGTTAATATTTATGGTTGTTTTAACAGTGACTAATGGTAATAGAAACTACAACTGCCAAATCTATATATCAAAGTGATGAACAGTCATTATTGGACCCTTGGAAGCAGTGATAAACTTTTTTTGGGGGGTGGGGGATATGTTAATAAGCCAGTGTGATTCATGGTGGGGAGCCTTGAGTGTTAAAAGGTATCAGCATTAAGCTTTAAGTTAGTTATTAGAGAGCAGAACAAGAGTGTAATGCAAACCTGAATAAACTGAGAACAAGTTTCAGCAAAATACATCATTGAAGGGCCAAGATGGTCCGTTATTTAAGCAACTGTGATTGTTTGTCACTTAGAAATATAATACTTAACCTTCTGACTTAATTACTATAAATTTCATCTACCAGTGATAAAGTATATTTTAGGAAACCTGCTTTAGAATTCAGTTGATTTCTATGGCAGGTAAATTTAACAGAAATACTCTGTGTACTTGCAGAGCAGAGGAATTGTGAAGTCCTCTTCTGTTACGTATTAGTGGCCTTCTGCAAACATTCCTCATTTTTGGTTTAAACATTTTTTATGTGATTGTATGAATGTTTGTCAATTGACTGGGAATACTTGAATAATATTGAACGTCATGTGCAATTTTAGTGTTCAGAGGTTGTATTTATGAGGACCATCAATGTCAATATTTGTGTTCCAGATAAGGTATATTGAAAATACTTTCAAATTTAAGTACAGTAACATAATTTTCGTAGTTCTTTTTATGGCACATACTAGAGTGCACTTAAAATGAAAATTAGAAACAATGGCCAAAGGATTTGTGATTTGTCCATTCTCTTTCTCTTTATTAATGATTTTTCTGCTCACATTTACTCAGAAAGTGGTACAAATTACTTCTCATTCCAATATTTGTCATGCACCTGTTATCTTGCATCAATAATTTGAATCAATGACATAACCTTTTATTCAAATCTTTGGAATGCTAACAATTTATCACCCATATACTAGTGTGGCATTAATAAATTTCCTTTTTTATTAATGCTTGTAACGGATGTTAAAAAGAAATGAAAATGTGAAAAACACCTTTCTGATGTAAATGTTCTAGTTAACAGTAAAGTACAGTATATTTTATTATGTTTGTGCATCTCAGTTCTCTTTAAATAAAAAAAGACTTTATTTTACTGCAAAATAAATTGACAATACTATTTGTTGTGAGCAGTTTCACTCATGATGTATCGAGAAAAAAGGAATTGTGCTTTGATACTCTAATTTTATTGTGTAAATTCATTTATGTCCATCTCCATTCTTATGTAAATGTTCTCTTACATTGTGATAATATCTGGAGATGAGCTTCTTAATTTTTGTCAGTATTTAACTTTTTTATTACCAAACTGGTGAAATTTACGCTATTAAGTTGTACATTTATTTGTTATTTATATTGAATGAAGACACAATCTCAACGTTCAATGTTGTATGTTTATTTGCAATTTGTATTAAATGGTGACACATTCTCTCACATCAACTTACAATTTTATTGGGAATGTTATTATTTGGTTACTTAGTTTATTTTAGTTAAAATGTAATTAGTACTGATTAGCTTGTAATTATGTTTTCAAATACTTGCTTATCAACAGAAGTGATGTTTGGTTTGATGAATGGTTTAATTATGTATGTTATGTATGGATGTAGGCAATTCAATTCTGAAAATTCAAAAAGGTCAGTGAAATCAAATGAAAAATAATTGTATTATACTATATTATATTACATTATATTCCAAAAGGGAAAATGCTGGCCCAGTGCTGTACATTATTGCCAGGAAATAAGTTATTGCTGTGACATTAGTAATGTAGGTTTAGTCTTATTGTATATACAGTATGGCAGGTGATTGAACTTTTAGATTCGTATATTGGTATTATTTCATTGAATTAAAGTAAAGATCTGTACTTTCCAGTCATGTACTAACAGCATACATTTTTTTTCTCTAGATCTCCAAATTGCTGTTTCACTTGGTTTTCATAAGCAAATGTTTTAAGTACAAATTTATCTAATTTCAAGTAAAGATTGTATTTTTTGTATTGATTTGTGACAATTCTTAATTAATTTTCAGTTCTTCAGCAATAAAATGCCAATGAGTATATGTTAAGAAGAAAGTTCTATATAGAATATCTAAAAAGCAATGGGAAAAAAACTGAATGTTAAAGGAAATTGCAACAAAAAAATTGTTTTGGATATGAAATTAATTTTTTGTTTTTCATAATAGCATTGAGTAAAATGAACGGAATACATTCAGGTGTATTGAGTGTAGTTCAATAAAGTTCCCTGAAGTTAGGAAATGCATTCTACTTAAGTGACAGTTCTGTGATCAGAGCGGTGCAAATGTAAATGTTTATATGTAAGGAGGACCTTTTTGCATCTGAAAAGTAATATATTTTTACGAAAAGAATATGTGACATTAATTGATGGAGCGTTTTGAGATTATGTATATTAACTCATGGAATTTCATATAAATTGTGACAACATACAAATTAAAAGGTGTTAACTTCGGATTTAACAATACTGAAATAGGTCAAATGTATGGAGATTTTCAGAATAAAAACTGGAAACTATAACTCTCATTTTACCAATGGTGTACCTTGACTATTTGTATATGTTAACTCAAGGAAATCTTGATAAGTAGTAGCCCTTTATTGTAAGAATTTACAGTGTGCTTGTTCTCCTGACATTTGCATGGCCCTGAATACACAATAACTTATAGAGGATACGAGGGTGAAACTTACTCTTGAGAAATTTTGCCTTTGGTCTCTCTAGTTCAGTGTATATTGTGGCCACATTCCTGTGTTGGCTTATATTTCATCTTAGTTGGAAACTGAATTGATCAGCATCCTGGGTTTCTATGGATCTGCATGTAGGTTAATTTTTCTACATTGAATTGTGCATCTTCAATAATAATAATAATAATAATAATAATAATAATAATAATGATAATAACAACAACATTATACATTAATTTTCATTTAGTTCTATTTTTAATTTGGAATTTAATTTATTTTTATTATAATTTGAATTTATAAATTGTATATGATGATACTCACAGACTTCTATATTCATATAATAGAAGATTTTCAATTATTTATGAGATCATGGAATATTTATTTTATAATTTATTTATATTTCTGTTTATTTGTACAATAATCATAAACATGTTACCTAGTTCTGCATTCAGTGCTTGTTAATATTCAGAGAAATAAAAGAAACGCATCATTCATTATCTAGTTATAATGCTAGATTGCGTTACATTCCTATTTTCAGTATGCCTTTAAAGTTTCTCAGAATTGTTTTATGTGCCTGGGCTAGAACAAATTGCATGTCTGCTTATTATACCACCCTTTCATTCAAGACAAAAATCAATTGTACTGTGTTCCATGATAGTTCCTTCACTTGGCTTGTATTAAGGTTTTATGAGTCATAAATGCACTATTAGTGTGTGCTTACCATCTTAGAAGAATATTTTCATGAATCGAAAAATGTGATTGTTGGTAATCAATATTTGATTACTGAAGCAAGTTAGTACATACATTTCTAGCTCGTTTTTTGCAATGATTTAATATGTATTGAGTGAGTGAATTTATGCTAGGACTAACAGTGTAATCACAGTGATACAGTTGAAAAAATTAAAGGGAGGAGTCAGTGTGCCTCTGAGAGTTGTAACTCTCAATTGTAGTCTAATGTTGTCCCAAGTACAAGATGAGATAGTTTATGTTAATACTTTTCTCTTGTACTGCTGAAATTGCTTCTGCAAAATACAAAATGAATCTCATTCACAGCAAGTCGTTTCACAACTTTATTCTTTGATATTTTTGTTTAATTACGCTAACAGTGGCTAGCTGATCAAAATGATGGCCTCAAATTGGACTCCATGTCTATACAAGAGCTTAGATTCACAGGGGCATTGTGGATATTTACCAGATTCAAATTGTACAGATGTTTTTGCTTTATTGTATAATTTCTTTTGTTATCCATTTGTTTAGTTACCCATGAAGTCATTCTTACATACTAAGAGATTTTGGTAAGTTAGATGAATTTCACTATGTGCATTGATAATTTTGCATTGTATTTGGTCATTCATTGTACATTTATAAATCATTTAAAAATTTAAGTAATGTGTTCATATGATTTTACATTGAATACTTGAAAAAAAAGAAATATACATATTTTTCCTTAACATATATTTGAGTCAGTCTAATCTCAAAAACAAACACCAGTTATGTCAATATAGGATATTGTCAATACTCCACTTCTAGTGTTGTTTTTTCTTGTACATAATATAAGAATGTGATAATATTACTTCAACCAACTGTGGGTTAAGTCCAGATTTTCACATGGAATTAGTCTTCATTCATAATTTCATAAATTTTCATGAATAATTCACTTTTATGTGACTAATAAGTGTACTATCATGCATGTTTCAGACAAAGCAGGGCTAAATTTGCTTCAGATGACCTTTTATCATTTCAATGATAGTGTTAGAAAAAAACGTTAGTTTAGAATTGGATTTGTAATATTTTGTAGAAAGGTATAATTTATACCATCTGAACCATGCATGATTAATATTGACACATTTAAATGTGCTGTGATGAGGATAACTCACTTTTTTACATTAATGAAGATAATTCATAGAATTTTTCCAATATTCTTGTTTTCCTAAACTTATTGAATGCATTAGTATTCAATGTGCGAATGATAAAGTGAGAGGGAAGACTGTAACAGCATAAATGAATATAATCGTTAGATAGAACCAGTGCCCTAGACTATCCCCAAAAAATGAGGGTTGATTAATAAATATGATACAGCTAAAATTGACTAAAACATTTTTATTACATAAAACAATGATGCGATACATATACATGAAGTATAAAAAATAATTACTCATAGATTATGTACTAGTCAATATTTTAAAGGTTTGATAATTATTTTACAGTAGTTTTCTTGTACAAGAGCCGCAGTAGTTTTGATGTCAATAGAAAAAATTGCTTAAAAATTACTCAGAGGCGCACACAGAAATTTCTTCTGTGAGAGGCTACAGGTAGTGTGTCTAGCCAACTTGATGTTTCATAAAAATACTTTTTTATCTATGCTGAATATAAAATGTAATTTTAATTGTTGACTTATAGTTAATATTTATGATAATTGATGTATTGAATGACTTTTGTTAATATAGAAAATAAGTAAAAGTTTTTTTAATCCGTATGTAGCATTGGCTTCTGGGGGGATGTTGAAGCCTCATATGCTGCCCCTCCGCCCTTCCCCCTTAGTGCATCACTGGCATACAATTTATCGGGGTGACCACTTTCTGTAATACCGGAAAAAATTTCATTGCTCTGGAAAAATTAGGGAATTTATGGAAGGATTGTTAGAAGTCAGGGGAAAATATTTGAGATGGTTACAAAACTAGACATTCTTGAAAAAAAAAAAAAAAAAAAAAAAAAAAAAAAAAAAAAGGTACAAGCATTATTTTTTGCTCAATATCTATATGTTGAGTTTTTTCATTGTGAAATCAGAGCTGACAAATTAATTTCAGGCTTGCTTTAATATTTTCTTTAAATCAAGAAATCTTTATCAGTGAAAAAATTTGAAAAAAATTTGAGTTTGCTCTGGAAAACCGGGAAAAGGCAAGGATATTTCTTTCAGGAAATGTGTGGCTACCCTGTTTTTATTACATGAATAGCAAGGCAAAGACAATCTGAAATCAATCAAAAAATTATCTTGTATTAGTGTTGAAGCCTTACAACTTTTTGTGTTATCGTGGACAATTATTATTACACTAGAAAAAAAGAAAAAATTGAACACAAAAGATGACAAGAGTATGTTATCATGGTTTCCAACAAACAATATTGAATATCAATTTTTTGAGTGGGTTGGTTGTGTGTGCCTGTGCCGGTGTGCACGTGCATGTCAGAATTTTCATTTATTTGTTAATCCACATGTGTGCATTTAAATTATTGTCGACTATTGTACCCATATAATGTTATTCTCACTTGTGTGAATTAGCACAATGTTTCAGGGAATAAGCATTTTTGGTGAAACATTTCATCAAACTTTCTGGTACTTGAATGCTTTTGACGATTTGAATGCCCATGTTTTGAGAGATGTTCTCTACCTGAAGTGACACTTTATACAATTGAAAGTTTTTCATGTATATAGCCTCATGCTATAAATTGTATTTAGCTTCAAATTAAAATCTAGACTGCACTTGGGCTACAAACTCTGGTGTTCTGTACTCTACTTTTTTGCTGTTGCATGGAATTTTTCAGTTTCGTTATTTATAGGTCCAGGGCATGCTCTCGCCCTCTCTCCCTCCTGTTTCACTTCCTTGTGAAAATTGAGGGGAAAAACACTGTTATGATCATTTTCCTCTCTGTTTATTTTCTTGCTTGTGGATTATGCCCAGTTAGTAATGTTTGAGAAATTGATGAAAAGAATGAATTTTCAAAGATAATGTTTTCTTTCTCGCTATACTACATATTTACTAAAGCCATGCTAATACTAAAGAAATTATTGTAAAGTGGCGGGAAAAATCGGTGCCCTGGTATTAAAAAAGTTGATAAATCTTATTCCTATTTGTAATAAATTAATTCCTCTGACACGTAGTCAAGAGTTCTTGTTTTGTAGGTATTTAATCTGGAGAAATGTTTTAGACGGTAAATTGTCTGTCAAATGGTCAATGTTAGCGCCAAACCATTCAGATGATTTTTTTCTAAAATTGATATTCCCCGATCGATCCAGCTGAACTCCAGGCACTGCCAGTTTGAAATGGATATTTTGATTTTTGTGACTACTTTAATTTAGTTTTCTCAACATTTTAAAAAAGTTTTCAAAACTGGTTCCAAATTTTTTTAGTAAACATTTTGCTCAAATATAGCTAAGGAAAATTGTTAAAGTTGCAAATAATGCAAGAAAGTATAAGCATCTGTAGCTACTTTTGAAGAGTATGTGGTTTTGAATTGTCATAATTTTCTGTTTGAATGTTTATCGACCCACAGATCAGTTTTTTTAGCAGTTACTTTTCTAAAACTTTCAGACAGACGAAGAGAATTTGGCAATTAATTTCCTTACACACATAACTATAGGGATTCAAAGCTGCCACAAATTCTCAAAACTGCTAGTGTTATGATTGTAGGAAGCAGTATTTATTTCATGTACTTTGGCTTTAGGTTGCTTGACAAATATTTCTTAAATGTACTTCTAAAACAGCGTAGGATTTATGTAAAAATAAATGTTTGCATGCATTTATATATTACTTTCTCATTACAGTAATTATTTCATATTGTGAAAGAACTGTTATGAGAGTATAAATTGAAAAATATTTGCAGATCTGTGTTTAATATGCGTTAATTTTAGAAATTAATATTAAAACCTTACTAAGCCTGCAGTATTGAGTAATGAGAGAAAAGGGTACATAGTTTTTTAATTTGTCTCCAAATTTATCATCATGTAAATCATTCAGAGTCTAGTCAATATTGATGAAATGGATTTTATTATATTACTGTTGCACAAGGAAACTACTATGAGACAGCACTGAAATTTGTAAATCTCTGGAGATAAAAGGTAAATCTCTGGATATGAATATTTAAGACATTGCTTAGAAATCAAGAGATTTTCACTGCATATTTTTACCAGATTTTATTGATAACATAATTAATTTTATGTGTATTTTAATAATTGAATAACTCTTGTGGTATGTATCCAAATCGTTAGAAAGGTCCAAATGAACCCAGGAAATTCTAGAATTTCTAGTGTTAACACTGCCGAATCCCCAACTAATCGTTTCTTAGCCATAATTGTAAATACCGAAGTGTCCTCAAATTGTAAGTTGCTGGTAAAAGTGTAGAGAAGAGAATTCTCTATGAGTGGAATTTCTAAACTGGTTGGTAAGTTTTTCTTTGATACTAATGATTGGCAAGATTTTTCTGTTACTGATGCTATTGCAATAACTGAAAATATCAGGTATTAAAAGTGAGGAATAATTTTATATTTATGTACTTTGTGTTTCATAGAAGAAAATTATTTTTTTAAATTGAGATGTTAAAAATCATAATGACCTGCACAGTAAATGTTTACCCCATATTGGTGTTACATGTCAGATATACATTAGCATATGAACCAAAAGCTTTTGATTACAATTATGATGTGTAAACTGGGCTTCAGAGCCTGTTTGTAGAACCGAAAAATTAGTGTAATGAACTTGTAAATGGAAATCAAATAAAAGTTTTTCTTGTTAATTTTCTGTTTACTGCTTTCTGAGATAAACAATGATGCAGTCCACCATTTGATGCACTTCAAATCTTTGAATAATGGTGAGGTACCTCAAGTGACTTCTACAAGAGAGGCAACTGAAAGTTCAAAGAATTCAGTAAATGAGGTAATCAACATAAAAAGGATATTTATTTCATTAAATAATGCTTCATACTTTATTGTATTACACTACTTTACTAGTGGTTTGCAAACATCTAGCAGAAACGAAAAAGAAAAATATCTCAATTTGGCTTGTTGATTTGCTTGCCACTGTCTAATCGGAAGTGCCTCTTTTCTTTTTACAATGTTTGATTGTTAGTACATAATATTTTGTTTACTGTTCACCACATTAAATTGTAGATGAGGGTTTTGTAGTTTTAAAGTATGTTCATTGTTCTCCAAAATGTTTCACATTGTCAAGAATTTTCTTTAATTTATTCCAAATTTACATCATATTCTAATGACATTAATAGATTCTCCTATTTCAAGTTAAAAAAAATAATAACGTGGTTTTCAAGAAAAGCCCTGATACTTTTTCTAATGCAATTCCTTTACAATTTTGGCATCAGATTCCAGTAGATAGTTTTTGTAATTTTTCTGTTTGTCACAGTATGTAGCCCACTGATCTCTGTATATACTTTATATAAAGAGAGATCAGTGATGTAGCCTACATCACTGCCATTTTATGCGTATTTCCTTGACTCGAGTTATAGACTGGGGAAAACATTAATGCCATTTATGAACGGCGAGTACGTTGGAATTCCGGCTTGCAGTTTAAGGTTCGCCTAAAATCGAGCGCGAACGCAGGGTCACTCGCGTTATAGGGCTGTCGTTATTTGCACTCCTCAATTGCGTCAAATTACAAGTTTTCTTTTTTTTCTTCGTTTGTATTAGGTTTTCATTTTTTGTTCGGTAAAACTTAGTCATCCTTAGAACTTCGGCACTCGATTTCACGATCGTAGAGTTTCGATTTCACGATTTCGTGGTGTTTCAGAAGAAGAGAACGTGCCAACGAACTACTCTGCAGAAACGGAGCGTTCCTAAGCAAAATTACATTACAAACATTTGTTTATCTAACTGAGAAGTTGACCGTTAGAACCTTGCCCTGCCAACCTGCAATTGGAAACACTTTTGAAACTAGAGTAGTTCTTGGAGTCTTAGAAATGCGCTAAATATTCAGCTGACATACAATCTGCGACGAAGTTGGAAAATTACAAATAACACTACGGAAATCTATGCTTCTGAAACCAAAGGGTAAAGGAATTACTTTATGAGTAGAGCCCGGACGTGTGGCAAAATAACTTTTTGTCATTATTCGTAACACACGTCATTTCGTGGCGCGTCACACGTCATTTGGTGACTTTTAACAATATGAATCACTTAATTGTGTTCCTGGAGTTGTTTTAGTACATCTTCATTTTGCCTATTTTATCTTCTGATGCCTTTTTGAGGCCATTTTCACTTTATTTTGCCCTTTTCTGCGTTTTTACGTTATTTTGATTTTTTTTTCTCTCTTGGCATTACTCTCGATCACGTTGGATATATACCTGCAAGCCTGGACTGTTGTCCTTTTGGAAGGTACGGTTGGAAGGCAAGATCGTATTTTGTCTTTCTGTGTAAGCAGAGTTTCTGCCAAAAATGGAAATGAATAAGGAAGACGATCGCAGTCAAGTTTTTTGTTTTTTTCATTGTTGCCTACAGGCTTTGTTCGCTCACGAGGAATCCCATCGTACTTTTGAGTGTGTGGCTTCCGATCCCTTTTCATGGCATCTTTTTTTTATATACCCTCCTCAGTGCTGGCGAGTGCACAAGTGCGAAGAACGAAAAATATAACTCAGTTTTCCCTGATGCCATTTTAAGATTTAAAAGGGAGTCCACAATATCATTTCGAAGAGACAGCGTCGCGAAGAAAATAAATTCGAACCAGCATACCGGATGGTCACGTAGAATCAAGTTTACAAAGAAAATATTACTTCCTTGTACGTTAAGTGCTAATGTAAAATTTAGAGTGTGAATAATTTTAATTATTTTTTTAAAAATAATTCCCTTTAAATGTGATTTTTCATTGTTTACCCGCCTTTTTGACCCATATTTTAACTACAATAAATGCATTTTTCATGCCTATTGTAATATAATAAATGTTTTTTTGCCTACCTGTTTTAGGTAAAATAATGCCTGAACTTCCTGCTCTACATGTGAAGAACACGCCAGTATGTTTTTCTGTTGAAATGACTCACCTTTATAAGGTGTCACTTCGTGACGTAAACACACACACACTGACACTCTATCGCATTCTCAATTAGATTAACTAACATTTCTTATGCTATTTGCTGAGAAACGCCTCGTTGTTGCAGAACAGTGTCGCAAAGAGTTGGACTTTAAGTCGAGGTGCCGAAGATATTTCTAAGTATGGCAGAAGAAAAATATAGTTTTTGGTTACAAAGCACAAAAACGAAAATTTGTGAATTGACAGAATCGGGATGAATTACCGCAACTATTGCGTCTGGCTCTGCGAGCGCGGGGGACATCAGAATCATATCCCGTTATTAGCAAATGTCTTCTCGAGCTGGGGGAGAATTCTAAGGGCCGGCTGCTCGGATCAGTAGTTTTCTGTGATTTCTCCGATCAACACCAGGCGAATGCCTGAGTAGTACCCTAACAAACGGGCCACGGACCGCGCGCCATCTTTCCTATCTCTTCCTTGTTCTATCCACATCCCTTTCATACACTTACATGCACTACACTACCACACATGCCGGGAGACCGGTCGGGAGCTTAGAACTTGCCCCGGCTGGGGTGGTGGGACCTACCGTCGTACCGACCTTACATTTCCGGGACTAATGGCCCTTGTAGTTGACGCGCCCGGAATCACTAACAATCAACCAGTCTTCACTGCTAGAGTGTCCAACGGCGCTTCGAGTCTTGCAAATGCACACAAAGTTCCGGTGCTGCAACGTAATTGGGAAGGAAAGGGGGGGGACCCTACAAACAAACCGGAATCTGTGCTTCTGAGGCCAGAACGGTAAAATAAATATTTATTGGTAATGTAAGAAACACGCCGTGTTTCTTCGCATCAAATTACTTTTCGTGTATGTATGTGTTTATTAAAAAATGTACATGGGAGATTGAATTAAGAGCAACTTTCCAAACAATAATTTAATAGCAAGAAAACTACAACACAAATTAATTCAGAATGAACTCCCAACATTCTGCCTTCCTTCGTACAACTTCAAATGCCCCCTGTCTCTCCCTTCATTTACGCCTCACCATCCCCACTGCCTGCTCAGAGCTGCCATCACTTGTCATTAACACTGGCAACCTCAGTACTGCCATCTCTTGTCATTAACACTGGCAACCTCAGTACTCCAGCACTTCAATTCTTCCTTACCTTATTCGGCCATTCCTGACAAGTCCCATCCAGAGAATGTGGCTTCAGGTAGTCTGCAGATGTCTTCCCCGGACCTATTTCTTCACCTACACTTGTCAGTTAACACATATCGTTGGTTTTATTTCTGGTTATTTCATAAGGGTCGATAGAATTTGCAGCACCATTCTGTCCTGGTCAAAACTTTATTTAATGAGAACTAAATTCCCTTTCTGATGCTTGGTAGCTGATTGGCATTTTCTATCATGTTCGTTTTAGGGACTAAATACAGATTGTTTTCCTTTACCATGGCATGTAACTGACCTCGCTGCTCATCAAATAGTTGCAGGCTTCCTGATCAATTATTAGAGAGATTTCTGTAACTACTCAACTTACGTATCATTCTAGTGCCAAAGGTTAAAAAAAGAGCTTGTTTAACAGATGCTTCGTTGAAATGTGCTTTTCAAACTCATTTGTATTCTTCAAACATTCTTTTATCAGCTTTCTGGGTTGACAAGAGACCTCTTATTAAGCATAGAATCAATGGTACTGTTGAAGAGTTCAACCGCGCAATTTTACACCTACAATTGATACATGTTCACAGTTTTTTCTAGACAGTAATATGGGGAAGTATCAGATCTGAGAGCTGCTCTCTTTATTGTTATTATAAGAAGTGGATTACCAAAAATGTTTTGATTTATGAGCCTGACGATTTCTTGATTTGATTTCTTTTGGCAGTAGAAGTGTGAAAACTGTATGTGGCATTTGGGGAAGAAGTTTTCTTGGCGTATGTTTCCTTGAGCTCCAGAATTTCTTTCCCACGCTCTTACTATACATAGTTCAATTGTGAAAAAAAATGTTGCAACATAGCGAAGTTAGCAACATTTGAAAACTAGACATTTTTGCTCATGAGTTATAGGAAACATTTGCATTAGTAAACGAACTACCGATTTGATTTTTTAGTATTTCTAACAAAATAGTGACCCATGCCCCGATATCTACTCCTATCACAGTTAGCGAAAGGGAAGCTCAACAAAATGTGTGCACAGTGAAGCTACTTTATGTCCAGAAGCAAAACAAGGAGCCATCTTAGCTCAATGGATCAGGGAAACTAGACGATAGGTCTGATCGAGGGGGTCATTGACCCAGCAGCTGAAGTACATTACTTGAAACAGCCATATTAAAAAATGTTAAAATGATACAATACAAATGTAAAGTAATGCATAATACAATATATCATTGTGAAAATAAATGTTATTTTTTTTTAGATAGATGGTATACTCTTTAATTGTATAGAAACAGTTGTGGAGGAGAAACTGAACTTTAATTTGTGTACCGATTTCAATTGTTTAATGTCCTCTGGCAACACGTTGTAAAGTGACATACAAGTATTATATGCGTTGTTGTGGATTATGAAACTTGATGAATATTATCCCTTAGCCATGTGTTGTGATTATAAATATATGTATTGCATGAAATATGTTCCTACTCTTAAATCAGTTTTGACAAAAAAAATACGTAAATAAATAGGCAAGACATTGGTAAGATCAAAAGCTCAATGAAACGAGGTTTGCTGGAATCACGTGAATGGAATTCGTACAATTCTTTTGGTATTCTAAAGGTCTGGCTACTATGGGATGTGCGTCCCTACAATAAATGCACATTTATAAAATACACACAAGCTAGATAAAGGCTGACTAATCGAGTCCCGACGGGGCCAGGATTTTCGACACTGGCTAGATAGCTAGGTCGAATTCAGCCGCGCTGTCTGGAAGAGAATTCTAACGGCCGGCTGCTCTCTAGTCGGTAGTTTTCCGTAGTTTCTCCGATCAACGCTAGGTGAATACCGAAGCAGTATGCTAACAAATGGGCCACAGACCACACGATCTTTCCTTCCACTGCCTTCCTCCTATCCTCTCCCCTTACTTGCAGTAGGGGTGGGTTACACTATCACACAAGCTTAGAGTTCGTTCCGGCTGGGGCCCGGGCGGTGCCCCGCTGGTGGGAGATACCTAGATGAAGAAAATCCCGCAAGCTGACGTTAAGGCCGACGCCGGATCTTGCCATCCAGCGAGGAGGAAATAGCGCTACCTGCCCTTGTAAAACATGCACTATACTTACGGGGCTAATTACCATAAGAGTTGACGCGTCTTAAAACATGAAATTCTATTCCTGGATAAAACGTAAACTTATCTTACGGAACTAATATTTGATGTTGAAGTGTTCGGGAACATTAATCAGTCTTACTACCTTCCTGCTCAGGAGAAAGCTAAGCCCCTCGCCAACACCGCCCTCAACGTTGCATTGCCAGTCCTCCGCCCACGCCCTTGTTTCCCTTGCTAGGTCAGTGAGATTGACTCAGTATCACTGGTGAGATTTCAACGCTGATTTGATCGGGGGATGGCTCATAGTGAAATTTGCTGCTATCATTCCCTGCTCTATCTGTGCGCCTAATTTGCTCAAACTTGATTACCGCGCTTGTGTTCAGGGCGAGTAGCAGTAAATCGTTAGTTGCTGCTTCGAACATTAATTTCTTTGGAATTAAGCTAGCCTAAAGGAACGCGAATCTCTTTTTAACGTTTTGAAATAGATTTGCCATTAAAATTGTACATTTCGTCATGATGTCACATCCAATAGTCAAGGACAGTCACGGAACCACTAAAATTCAACAAAGCGGACCTCCCAAAGCAAAATAATATTGGCGGATCGTGAACGGCCATTGAAAAAGAGTTAAGAAAAAGTACCTAAAATAATTGTTTTTCTTGCAAAGCCAAAGGAGAACAATCGAAGATATAGGAGCTAATTGATAGTTTCCAAGAAAATAGCATAGTGGTGTCCGACTTGCAAAGTCGGTCGCAAAGGGCCACAGCTAAAACCTTGAATATAGTTGTGGGCCATATTTTCATTTCTCGGGCGATTCACACCTGACATCCCCGTATTGCTGATCTCGGCACTTTGCCCGGCTGCTCTGAAACGAGGGAGGGAGGAAGGAGGATAGAATCATGTGTGATATTAGGCCGTAGCCTGCAAAACGCAATAAAACACATTTGAGCGATTTTGAATTTCTGAGTTTACTGGAAAAAATCCTTAAATCTAAATTTAAAGTATTACTTTCTCGCTACTGCGGTATAAAGAAAGTTGTGTAATGCTGCGTGAAAAAAATTCTATGGCCTCAGTTATGCATCTTAATGTAGTTTAGTTCAGATCCTATTTTTGTGAATTTATATATATATATATATATATATATATATATATATATATATATATATATAAACAGAAAAGGTAAATTGCTAGGGTAGCTTTTCGTATGGCTTACATTGTGCTACAGAGTGTCAATAAACAATTTAACACTTACTATTTTCTCTAAAAGTATAAGCCGCATTAAATATTTTCTTAGTAAATATTGACATTAGTTTCTGAGTAGAAAATTCAATTTATATTTTCTCATCCCTAACCAAAAATCAGGATTGAATAATGGAGAAGTGGATTGTATTCTCCACCCCGAGGCCCCCGCATTGACTATCTGCGTTTCACAATGTACGAAGAAATTAATTTGCCTTCTAAGCAAATGCCCCTCTGTAACGGGGAACGGATGATTGGCAACTTGTTCTCAATTTGAAGGAGAAAGGGATCTTGATAATGCACGAGAAAAGAACTCAATATTTATCTAGTTCCGAAAGCAAATACCTAGAATGTATTCCCTTGCCTAATGAAGTAGATTTCTTCCGCTAACCTGAGAAGTATTTTGAGATAATTTTAACCTCTTGGATATTTTTACTTTTCCTCCCTTCATTGATGGTTCCGTATTTATTACCATATCTTGTTGTACGAAACAAATTAAAGAATAATCATCCAACATTCAAGCGCCACTAGATGGAGAAAAAGGTATTGGAATCACCTCAACAACACGATCCTAAATTTTTGGTCGTAAAATGTAAAAGTTTGTAAGGATTTTTGAGCTGCAACTTTGCACACATGTCAGGATGACGATATTCTGAAGTTGTTCCAAAGATGGTTAAAATTGATACAGGAGGAAAAACCTTGTACATCAAAATCGAGATAATTGGAGGAATGGATGGTGGATGCCAAAATATATGTCAGGCATAACTCGATCAGATTGGGAGTTTTTGAGCTTAAAGTTGGCAAACTCGCCAGGACGTTGGGCTATTCCCGGTATCATTACGATACTTTGATTTTGGGGGACATTTTACATGAGGCCCCTTTGACACAAACGTTTCTGAAAAATGGCTGCATTTTTTTTTTCTTTTTTTGGCTTAAATAGAGGACAGTGCATTTGTAAATATGGTACAGTTCCGATTTTCATTAAAACCTGAGATTTTGAAAATTGCAAACGTTCAAAATATTTGTCGATCATGTACTACAACGCTAATAATGAAGTCAAAGATGTCTTTGTCAGTTTCAATTTTAGATTTTTAAATGATATCATGTACATTAACAAAATATGAGTAACCATTGGTTATTTTAAGATATATCGTGATTTTTTCCACAAATATAATCCAGACGGGGAGACCGCTGGAAGGTAGTATATTCAATATACTTTTCAGTAGTGTGAAGGGATGTCACCATCATCACATTTAGTATTAATTACAACATGCAAATTTTGTAATTCATAACAATAAGAGGAGGAAAAGTTTCCGTATGCCGTGCATTCTCTCTAGTTGTTTTAACGTCATGCCAATTCGTAAGTATCTTGTCCTAGCGAAAAAATGGCGAGGAAAACAATAACTTCGTGGATTTTCTCATGTCATTTTCAGTCCTTTTAACCAGGTAGGATTGAAATGCCAAGAATTCGATTTAGATTTATTTAGTCAAAAAGAACAGGAAAACTGTATGTGACGTGAGTTACAGAATCCCTTCCCACCATTTTTAACTATATGTAGTTGAAATATGAGTAAAAGTTTAAAATAAATAAATAAAAATACATTTGAAAACAGCGCGAGATTAGAAATATTTGAAAAAAATAGACATTTTCGTTCCCGAGTACTAGAAGACTTATTTGCATTGGTAAACGAATTGCGAACGTAACGAATGATCTTTCTGCATTGCTAACAGAATCGTAACTCGCCCTTACCTCTACTCCTACCATTACAAGCAAAAGGAGAATTCAACAAAACGTGCGCTTAGTGAAGCTACATTTACTTTACGTGATCATCTTAGAATATCCTTTAAAGCCTTACTATTTCGAAATAGTATCTTACTAAGTTCTTAATGCTTGTGACAAACTTCGCGTCGCAGTCTACCACATCCCTCAACAAACAATGAAAACTGTGAAGAAAGGAAAATGCGATAGAAACGCGAGATTTTCAACCAGGATCCTTTGTTTCAGGCGTTCATATTTCTGCGAAGTTCTTTTATTTTGTTCTGAATAAAGCATCCGTATTTATTACCACATATTTTTTAGTACGAAACAAATTAAAGAATAATCATCTGACATTCAAGCGCTTGCAGGGAAATCAAAAGGTTTTGGAATGACACAATGAAATGGTTAACAGAGGTTCGAGATCATTCTATAAGAAATATATCTGCCATGTGTGAGCACAGACTGCTCTGCAAATGTTAGGACGGAGCACGAGCGAGTACTAGGGGGCGAGGGCGACCTAGTAAGCAGAGGGTTCCGCCGCTGGGGGCAGGGAGAGGTGAAGGGGAAAGGTGATGGCGAAGGGGTGGAGAGAGAGAGAGAGGGGGGGGCACCGGGGGTGGTGAAATCGGGTACGGGAAGCGAGAGGTGGGGAGGGGTGCGAGGGGCGGGGAAGGGGGAGGGGATGGGTCTGCGCGCCGGTGGTAATTCATTTCTGGCGGGCTTGGTGTGTACTCAGCGCGCTCTCATCCGGCTGCACGGGTTTGGGCCGCGCACGCGGAAATGCAAAGCAGTGCGGCGCGCTCCCCTGTGCCCGTGCCCCGCGCCCTCGCGGGCCCCGCCCGCTCGCGCGCCGGACTCGCCGGGGACGCCGCTCCCGTACTCCCGGCCTCCACCCCGCTCACCCATCTACCACGTGCGTCCACCGCGCGGCCCGCTCGCTTCGATCCCGGGTTTCATATCGACAAACTTTTTCTTTTATTTCTGTGTTTCAATTCATTTTTTTTTTGTGTCATTTCGCTCCGCAGTGCTCGCGCGAGTTAATCGACTATTTCATTTGCTCCCGCTGGAAATTAAAATCTAGTTTTTTTCCCTGGCCGCGGCGGTCGGCGGGGACGAGCGACAAGGCGGCAGCAGCGGGGGGGGGGAGGCAGAGCGGGCGGGAAGAGGCCTCGGGGAGGGACATTGATCGCCGTCGCCCGTGTTGGGAACGAACTCGCGACGCCGCGACTCGGCTTCGACCCTGCCCTGCGGCCTGGGCCCTGCGGAGAATCGCCTCCCTGGCAGCGGACGATAAGCTACGGCGGGCGTGGACGAGAGAGGACGGCACGCAGCTGGACCCGGCGGAACCCGGAACGAGCCCTCTAGGGGATCCGAGCCAGCCTCTAAAGGGCAAAGCCGAGGGTCGTCGCGAGCCCTACCAGGGAGTGGGTTCGAGCTTCCTAATGGACAATAATCAGCTGTTCCCACAACGGACCATGGCGACAGGGGTGGCGATCCTTGGCTGCGAAGCCCCTGGTGCACAATCAGCACGCGCGTTCTGGTCCCCGTTGCAAGTTCGAGCGTGATGGAGAACGTGGCGTCGCTAGGAAATAAGATGCTGACGGAGAGAGTCATGATCATGTCGACACACGGCATTCTTGTGTCGAAGGCTTCCGCGAAGTTTGATGCGATTAGTTCTTGATACGTGGCGTTCTCAGCGTCAGTGCCGGAGATTTCCCCACAATTAGATTATCTTTCATAGAGTGTTAATGTGACACTCGCATCCGATTTAGAGCCGCTTTTACCAACAGAGAATAAGGATTTATTTTCGAGTAAATCTTGTTTACTCGGGAGTAAGTTCTCAGATTGTTTTACCAACATCTTACTCAAGAGTAAATCAATCACACCCGAGTATGTTCGAGAATAACTTTATTGTGTGACGTTCCGTCTAGTAAAGGATGGAGTCGGCTAAATTTTTACCATGAGTACATCCAAAGAGTTATTACGTTTCGACAGTTGTACATCATGTGGCATTGAGGATGATTCCAGCGATGGTTCGGAATATTATCTTCTAATGCGAAGGCCGCAATGGATGCGGGAGAAAATGAACTAGTTTTCAAATTACGACAACCTGGATTTTATCATGAGATTTCGATTAACCAAGGCAAAACCATTTCTCATGCCTGGAAGAATTAAAGTTGATTTGTAATATTCTTCTAATACGCATGATCATTTCAAAACATGGGACAATTTTATTAATAACAATAACGTAAAAGTTTTTGAAATAATATGCCTTGAAGAAAATGAGGTTAAGTAAGCGATAATCAAGGGTCAAGCACATCTCTCGCGATGTTTTGGTATTGCGTTGCTTTATTTTTATATTTGCCATCAATTTACCTTTGTTTCCCTGAAACCGGCTAAATACATGGTGGGCCTATGTGCATATTGCATGTTAATGAACAAGGACACAAGAACAAGATTTAACCCCTGGTACTCTATATTTTACCTTATAATAATTCTGTTTCATTAGGGTAGCAAAATAAAGCAAGATACTAACCTTGAAACCGAAGTACTCGTAAAACCAAGGTGAAAGGACCAGAGACGATAAGTGAGTCACATTGTCACTCTCGCTCACGGCTTCTTGAATCGCTTTGTGCAATGAACGAAAAATTGCGCGTATTGCTCGGAGCCTGTTGAAACGCTTACTCGGCACTCGAGAGTAATTACTCAAGGGTAACGCGAACTCTCAGTTATTACTCAGGAAAGGACGCGCTGTTGGCGAAACTGGCCCTTAGGTTGCAAGTGCTGCATGTGTGTCCTTCCTCTGGATTTTAAGACCTGGTTTCTTCCTCGCTCTCGATGGCTCGTTGGTTAGAGTGCTCGCTTTCCATGGCGCAACCTTGGGTTCGATTTCTGGGCCAAAATTTTAACTGTGCGCTTTCCTTACAAATGTCTCAGTATCTGGAGAGTGATTGAGTCGGGAAGGATATGAATTTAATACGATTTTGGCCAATGATTATGTGTTGGAAAAGTCATAAATATCGACCGCACATATAACAATTTCTCCTTACTGGTAAACAACTCGCCCAACACTGGTGCTTAGCACGTAGCGATCTGACACAATCAAAGATATTTCGAATACCCGCCAGTTCTGAATGAAATATGTTCTTCAAAATTACATATTAAAACAATGTCGTTTACAATTTTTTATTAAAATATTAGTATTTTGCGAAATTTTTAGTGAAATTCTGACAATTGGGGTAATAATTAAGTAATTTTCATTTAATTGTTCCTTTTTCAGTCCGTAGGATTCTTAAGAGGGATTTTGATAAGATAATGAGGGAAAATAACTTTATATATTTGAAAGAATTGTAATTTCTAACCTCTTTCTTCGCTTATGGGGACGAGAAAAATAAATCTTAATATTAAAAACGCATGAGTGTTACCTGACCCGCACGCCATATAGAAATACAGAAATGTAAATATCCTAGAAGGAAAGGTACGCTCGCAATTAAATGTCAGTTGTTGCATTTGAATTCATTCAATTCTTAGGAATGATACCAATTTTATAAGTTCATAACACTCGTGAGGATCTTTGAACAAAGAGTTGTCTTGAGCATACACTTCTTTTTAAACCTTCTAGAGTGTTACCGACCGTAGGATGCAAATGACATTGTTGAAAACGGAAGACATCAGGCATTGGTGACAATTTCAGGAGTCTGTTTAATGTGATTTATTTTTCGTCAAAGAAGTAGAAACTGTATTTATTTCGGTAAAAAAAAAAAAAAAAACAGTAAAAACTGTATGTGACGTTTGAGAAGATCTGCGCACGTTTTCTTGAGTTCCAGAATCCCTTCCCATCATTTTAACTATAAATAATTGAAAGATGCCTAAAAGTTAAAGATACATAAATAAATAAATAAAAATAAAATTTAAAAAAGCGCGAGATTAGCAACCTTTGAAAAACTAGACATTTTTGTCCCCGAGTTATAGAAAACGTATTTGTAACGGTCAATGTACTGCAGGTTTGATTTTTCTGCATTGCTAACAAAATAGTTACTCACCCTTACCTCTACTTCTACCACTCAAAGTAAAAGGAGAGTTCAACAAAACGTGCGCATAGTGAAGCTAAATTTACGTCGTGAAGCAAAACAAGGGGCCATTTCAGTAGTGAGCTGTTGATACAGACACTTGATGTACGTGATTTCTACGACGTGTGTTGTAATTGTAAATATAAGTATTGCATGAAAATATGTTCCCACCGTTAAGTGAGCCCGTTTTGAGAAATTTTACAGATTCGTCAATAAATAGGCAAGGCAAAGGTTAGATGGGATGGGGGATATGGGGAAGTATGTATTATTTGGGGATGTATTATTTCATTTTAATGAATGATTTCTTTGCTTTAAAGAGAAAATGGGAAGAGAGCTAAAGAATATAGCTAAATTTGTGACAATAACTGTCAAGTAACTTCACCCCAAGACTGCCATGAAGAAGTCAGGTATCCAATGACTTACCGCCACTCTGTAGCAATTTGTACAACTTACTTTTAAATCTCGTGCCAATTTCCTGGACGCAGGGCCCGCGAGCTCTAGTAAACTTCTTACCTTGCCCGCGACCTTGACATGCCTGAAGTAAGATATGATTTCGTTATGTAAGCACTTCACTTGTCTGAGAAGACAATATAGCAATTATTCTAGGCTCCTGTGTAAATGTTGTTAAGAAGTCATTCCCTTCCGAACAACATGGTCGCGTTAGACTTTACGTGTAATGAATTGTGCTGTTTTGTATGAGAGTTTTAGAAAAAACAATATATCGGCGCCTAAGAGTACTCACTGATCTGATGTGCGTACTCTTATCCGCTCTGTAATTTGAAGTTTGAATGCATTTGAATGCAGGGTTCCTATCGCAGAAAAAGCTTTCCGAGTTACGGGTGTTGAGCCGCACAACCCGTACTACTTCCTCCTAAAACGAGGAGATGCAAGAAAAATATTAAAAAATCTGAGATCGCGACTTTGTCTCCATTAAAAAAAAATGTTAGAGAAGAAAGTAAAAGAAACACAGAGAATTGACGGAAATAAAGGTCATTTGAGCTCTTCAGAAAAGTAAACGTGGGCACAAAATTAATGAAGGAAATTGAAAATCCTTGAAAGCAAAAACAAAACAGTTTGTGAATAATGAAATATAGGTTCTCTCAACAATTTCGGCAAACCACGGCGAGATAATATACCCAGCCTGCAAACATCCATGTGATAAAGTTTGGATCTAGGGTGGAATATATAAGTATTGGTGACATGAGGAATGTTACATTCTTGGCTATCCGGGATTCGCCGCATCTCGGTCAATTGGGCTAACGTCTTGGCCATCTTGTTGTGGCCTTCAGAGCTATACTACGTACTGAATGTTGAAAACTGCGGAAAACATGAGGAATATTCCAGTTACGAAGGCATCGTAAGTTTTATGTGATTACTGCTAAATTTCCCGTTGTGCGTTCCCGTTGTTAAAGTTCCCGCCATGTAGTGTAAGAGTTCGCATTTCGCTATGTTTATTCCATTTTTTAATTAATATTTTTTACGAAGTTACAATTTAAATTTTTTGTACCCTTCTTTCTAAGTTTCTAAACTGTTTCAACAGATTTTCAAGGTTCTTACTTTTCAATCCTAAGCTTTATAATGAAAAATCCTCTATGTACGTACGCTTACCCTCCTTTCCCTTATTTCGAGATTCAACTCCTAAAATTACTAAATTCCACGAACACCTCACAGATCTGAAGAAAACGTACACAGATAGTGAAGCTACATTTATGTTCACAAGTAAAAGATGAGGTCGCCTCATTATTTGCTAAATGGATCAAGAAACAATGGACAAAAAACCTGTTCGAAATAGTGGCATTGACTCAATGGGTGAAGTACAATAAATGTTTCGAGCATGCTTTGTCTTTTAGAACTGAATCGTTTATTTCAGAAACCAGTCAAATACAAAGCATGCCAATTTCGGGAAACGAAAAAACTCTGGCATCGGCCTAAATTTTTTAGGTATTTATTTTATTTTTTTTCTTAAAAAATACATTTCAATATTTTTTGAATTATTATTGTTTTTTTATATTAGGTCAGTTTAGTATGATAATTTTAATATACTAATCTTGTAAAATTGTATTAAGTAATTTGTAAATATTTTAAGGACATGAATACTTGGAAATATTCCATGTATTCCTATAATATTTTCCTGCAATTTCCGAATCTGCAGTGAAATGTGGATATTTCCATTTTGATCTTCAAATTTATGGAGTTGTCTCCATTTTCTCGTATGTTCAGTTCAAAGAAAATATTATGTAACCTGCAACTGATCCTAAATGGGCTGAGATAATTCGTTAAATTCAACAGAAATATAGGGAGCGAAACCAAACTTTTCTCTAACTATTGTTATGACTAAAAATACACAGAAGTAAACAAATAACAATAGTTTAACTATTCAAATCGTACCGTAGACCTGTGAGTAAACAAACTACCATTAGAAATAACCAAGTTAATGGCGTAGTTGTGACACCAGGAGATGCGGCTCAGTCCGTAGGGCAGTCACCATATTTCAGAAGAGTTACTCGTATATGTATTAAGGGAGAAGTAATCGTAGGTAGAATATGCTCGTATGCTTGTCACCACGTAGTTGCTAAGAACGGGAGAGGTGGCTCAGGGCATCAAATGATGTTACTGCAGTGCCCCTGACCGAGAGGTCCTAGGTACGAATCCCATGGTGGCAGATTTTCGATACTTGCTAGTTAGCTAGATCAATCTGTCGCTGGCTTGAGGAGACTTCTAGCGGCCTGCTTCTCTGATCGGTAGTTTTTTGTGGTTTCGACGATTAACACCAGGTGAATGCCGAAGAAGTACCCTAACAGTCGAGCCTCGGACCACGCTCGATCTTCTCTTCCCATTCCTTGTCTTATCCTACCCCTTACTTACACACATTCACCCTTACATGCACTAAACAACCACACATACCGGAAGACCGGTCGGGAGCTTAGAGCTTGACCCGGTTGGGGCGGTGCCCCGTTGGTGGGAAATACCTACTTGGGGAAAACTCCGCTAGCCTACGGTAGGTCGGCGCCAGATCTCACCATCAGCGGGGGAAGATCACAGCCACATCCCGATCAAAAACATACACTATACTTCCGGGACTAATGACCTTAGTTGTTGACGCGACCGGAATTACTAATCAATGAATCAAAGTATGCTGTTTAGCTCTCTGAGTGCCTTCCGATCGCTTGTCGCTGCTTGACAAATCCTAGGTGACGTCACAGCTTAAGCACTCTCCTCAGGCTCCTGTTCCGGTGGCTGCCTCGCTGCACCTAGCGAGGCGGCAGAGCGCGGCTGTCCTGCTCCGCGCGCGCCAAATATGGATGCTCCTTATGTATCCTCCTCCACAAACAGCTCCTAATGTCTCGTTCGTGTGTTTGCTTTGGCGAAATCGGTTCTAAGGCAAATGCAGTTGGGTTATCTCGCGTCTCGCCGTGCCTGCACGCGGGAATAGCCACCTCTGTGAGGGGGTGTCTATTTCCCTCAAAAAGGGAAACTGATCGGCGTCTCTTCAAGAGCGCGATGCGGCTGCTCCTACCTTCGCTCCGCCTCGGCGCAAAGCCTCGTGGCGAGGCACAGCGGATCGTGTGTGTATGAGGAGAAGGCCTGGCGGGATCGCATGGCTGGGGCGCATGGAGGGGTGTGAGGAGCCGTGTGACGGAGATGTGTGGTGAGGACGCGCGGCGGGGACGCTTAGTCAGGGAAGCGTGCAGGGGAGGACTCAACCGATCGTTTTGGAAGGGGTGATCGTATGTTTTTTGTATAAATAAAAAAGTAATTGTTATATTGTTTTTTTGTAGTGTGTCAATCAGGAGGGTCCAACTTGCAAGACCTCAAGGGCCACAACTACGACCTTTAATATGGTTGCGGGCCATATTTTCATTACTCGGACGATCCATTCCTGACTTTCCCGTACTGTTGATTTCGGCACTTTGCCCAGCTGCTGAGAAAAAAAGGTGTAGGGGGAATGAAACCATGTGTGATATTAGGCGGTAGCTTGCATAACGCAGGGAAACACATTTGGATGATTTTGAATTTGTGAGTTTACTAGAAAAAATTTGAAATCTAAACTTGAACCTATTTTGACATTAATGGGGCGTTGCAACAGAATGCAGGTGCTAGGCGTGCTATGTTCCTGCTCGATATGGATTCAAGGGACTTTAACTTTTGACTCAATACCTTTCACGGGCCACAGTGAATGGCACCGCGGGGCACTAATTGTACAACTCCGGTGTAAATGGTTCTATACAATATTATTTTTTAAATAATTACATAATTGTAATATAAATACATATTTTAATCCCTTTTACCAAATACAAAAAGGTAACAAACGAAAACTAGGTCTTTTGGAGGGGGACATAGCCTCGATGGCTCACCTGGATCCGTCACTGGGAGAGAGATGAGTCGAGGCCGTGTGTGGTGGCAATGTGGCAGATTGACAAAGCAATATGGCGGAGAAGTGCGACGTTGCTGAGGAGGGGGTTAACCGAGCCGGGGGAGGGGGGAGCCGAACCCATGTGGCGTTGCGGTGGTGATGTGTGGCCGTGTGATGTGGAGACGTGTGGCGGGGACCTGAGCGTGGCCGTGAGTCGGGGAAGTGTGGAGAAGCGGCCGTGAGGTGGTGCGACGGGGGCGCCAGGCGAGGGAAGCGAGACTGGTGGGGCCGTGTGGCAGATTGGGCAGTATGGCGAAGAAGTGTGGCGGGAAAGAATGGCCAAACCGTGTGACAGGGCTGGGAAGGGGGCATAATACGAGGCCACGTGGCGGTACGGTCTGGCGGGGCGGCGTGGTAGAAACGAAAGGTTTTGCCGTAAGGCGACGACGTGACGTGGCCCAAGAGGCTGAGAGGTGTGGAGAAGCCGGATTTGGCAAAAGCGCCGTTGCGGGCACATAGGACGTTAGCAGGGTTTGCGTGGGGATCTAGGACCCGTGCTGAGGGCACGTGAGGCGCGGTGGCAGGGACCGTAGGCCTGCGTGGGGGAAACGAGAGCGTGCTCGTAATGGACTGGGCGGGAGGTGGAGGAAGCGGTGTGGGATATAGCGGCCGGGTGGAGGGCGCGTGGCGGTGGGCGTGGCGAGGCGGCCGTGAGGGCGCGAGGTGGGGACGCTAGCGAAGGATGAGCGAGACGTGCGGCCCGTGTGGCGTGGCCATGTGTGCAGTTTGCCAAAGCCCAGTGGGCGAGAAGTGTTGGTGGGAAGAGTGGGGCGAGATGTGTGGCAGCGGCTTGAGAAGGGGGCACTTGGCATCGCGGAATGTGGCCGAGGAGCCGTGTGCGGGGCTGCATGTTGGGAACGCGAAGGCGTGGTCGTATGGACGGGGCGGGGAGGTGTGGAGAAGCCCGTGGGCAAAGCGGCGGCGAGGGCGCGCGGCGGGTTGTGGGGCACGAGGCGAGGCGGCGGGAGGTCGCGTGGCGGGACGCGTGGCGAAGCCGGGGCGGCGCAGGCGCGGCGGCCGTGGGTGACGTGACAGAGCTCACGCCGCAGTGGCGAGGGCGATGGCGCGGGCGGAGCGGGCGAGCAGCAGCCCAGCCGCCAGGTGCTGTGCGCGTCGCGCTCCGTGGGACGGCGCCTGGCGACGGGTGACGGAGCGAGGCCAGGCGAGGCGCGCCCACGAGAGGCCCTGCGCCGCGCCGCCCGCTCGGGGAGGCGCTCCCAAGAGCTCCAGGCCGCCACCTGCTGAGTTGGATCAGAGAAATAGCTCTTCTCACCGCAGCGACTCTAACAGGAAAGTTTCATTGATTGATTGTTTCCGGGCGCGTCTACTACTAAGTTCATTAGTGTACTGCATGTTTTTATCGCTGGAGGTGGCTTACGAGGTTTCCCCAACCAGATACCTCTCACCTGCGTGGCCACCACTGGTCTTCTGGCATGTGTGATAGTGTAATGGATGTAAATGTCGATGTGTTTAAGGGGTGAGGATAGGACCAGGAAGAAGAAGGAAAGACCGCGCGTGCTCCTTGGCCCGTCTCCTAGAGGACTGTTCAGGGATTTGCCTAGTGTTGATCGGAGAAACCACGGAAAACTACTCATCAGAGCAGCCGGTTGCTAGAATTATCCTCGAGATAGCAGATAAATTAGACCTAGTTATGCAGCTGTGTCAAAAATCCTTCCACCGTCGGGGCATGAACCCTAGGATCTCTTGATCAGAGACACTGTAGGGAGGTAGTCGATGCCCCGAGCCATCTATGTCGATGGGAAGTCTGAAGATTCTAGTCTAGTCCCGACGGTGGCGGAATTTCGGCACTAGTTTCGAGGTCGAATGTATTCGCTGACTGGAAGAGAATTATAGCGGCTGCCTACTATGATCGCAAGTTTCCCGTGGTTTCTCCGATTGATAGCAAGTGAATGCCGAAACACTGCCATATAACGTGGACCAGGAAGCGCTCGCGATCTTTCCTTCCTCATTCTTGCTCACTCCCCTTTAACACCCATTTATACTTATTACTTACATGTACCACACTACCACATTTGGAGAGATCTATAGAGAGCTTAGAGCTTATTCGGGATGCAGCGGTACGCCACTGGAAGAGATACTTGGAGGAGGAAACTCCTGCAAGCCAATGGTGTCGGTGGAGTCGGTGACGGATCTCATGCTCTAGATGGGGAGGAACAACGCCATCCCCGACTTGTAACATACACTACACTTATGAGTCTAATGATCATGGCAGTTGATGCGCCTGGAAACAGGAAATAATCAATCAATAAAATCAATCTATTCCCCCACGATCATCCCTCGGCTCTACGAACCTGATTTACCCGCTCTCTTTTGACGAAAGAATTTCGGAGATTTAGCAAACGCGCAACTCCAGAAGCCACACTGCGCGTGTGCGCGATCGCTAAAATTTCGGAATCTTTCCTCAAAAGAAAGCGTGTAAATTGGGTTTAAAAAGGAGGGGAATGGAGCTGATAGAATACGGTACGAGTGGCTTATATAGATAATTACATTGCGAAAGGCAAAAGTAAAAGCAGTTCTATACTTAATAAAACAAGCTATTTAATCTACCGTGTAAATACCTGAATTTTCTATATATACTACTTTAAATTTTTAAT